TGTGGGGGCGATATGCTGACTCTGTAAACCGCTTAGAGAGGGCTGAAAGCTAACTGCTATTGCTATTGCTATTCGCTTAATGGTCATGGATTTACTTCGGAACCAAATTGATTTGCTTTAACAAGTGCCATCAACAAGGTCACAAAATTAGATCGGTCAGGTGGGTAACCCACTTTATGACTGTCACCACTTAAAACCATAATGGGCTGACTCCCATTATAGTTGTAAGTTGAGGACTACCTGTACATGAAGGCCAGCCAACCTTTTTAATGCTGAGAATTGCCTTGCTCTGGCAGCAGGAGGGTGGGCAAAATTGAAGGCAGCAATGGGTGATGCCACAGACCAAAAAAAGAACTGAGATGAAATGTAGATATGTAACCCATACACAAACAAATGTGGTGGGGAGGTAAGAAACCCATTTTCTCTCTGGTGCTGTCCTTTATTTTCTCCTTCTGTTACCTTTTTCCTCTTGTGCAGCCAGTTGCATAAAAGGTCTGAACTGCTTGTAGATAGATTATGAAGTTAATCTAAGGATTACATACAGCCCTATGGTCATCATTCTGATAGTCCAATCTTTCTGCTTACATGTACTTTTGGACATTGTCAGATTATATCAGGGGACCAATGAGAAAACCTCATCTAAAAGGTTATCTGAGGAACCGTCTCTTGACCGGTCACATCTACCCGACCCACTAAATCATGGAGGCCAGGAATGGTGGGGGTCCCATCCCCTACAGAGATACACCTAGTGGGACCCAGAAGAAGGGCCTCCTCCTTGGTGGCTCCCTCTCTCTGGAACATTATTCTCCCAGAGATTAGAATGGTCCCCATTGTAACACTCTTCTGGAAAGCGCTGAAGACCTGATTCTGCTAGTGGGCCTGGGGAACCCAGAGCAGGATGGAGCCCATTAAATGGCTACTGTGATGTGTTGTCACTGGGATGAGAGGTAGGGGGCTAGTTTATTAGTTTTATTATATGTATGTATGTATGTATGTATGTATGTATGTATGTATGTATGTATGTCTGTGTGTATATATATGTATGTATGTGTATATATATNAAAAAAAAATATATGTCTGTGATCTTTTCTTTCTCACCTCACATTAGAATTTTCTGAGAATAGTTCTGTCAGAGTTTGTGAAATCACCATTTTCTACTTCCAGTGCCAAGAAGGAAGAATCTAGACTCTTGCAAGGCTGTTAACACAATTGCTGTTGCAATCATTTGTGGCAATGGTAAAAAAAAAGAAAGTCAAAGACCTTAGAAAAAAAAGCTAATATATGGCCAATACTATCCCATCACAAAGTAATGAAAAATATTGCCTCTCTCTTAGAAAAAATGGACAATTTTGAATGAATATGGTAATAGTTTGTAGTGCTATTTTTGACAAAAAAAAAATTAAAAATGACTGCAGAAATTTTGATCTAGAAAAGAAATGCCATTCTACATGGCATGCAATGATCTTTTTTTAAAATAAAGCTTTTGTCCCTATTAGATCTGTTCCTAATCCGAATTTCCACTGTCCACGTATTTATCTTTAAGGAAAACAAACCTGTTGGAAGATAAATGCTCTATTTTGCAGCAAACATTGGACTGCTTGGAAGTGTGATATAGCACCTGTCTGCAGCTCTTTAAAGCAGCTGCATCATTTCTTGGGATTGCAGTGGTTGCTATCTCCTGGGAAAAGGAGCAAATGATAACTTACCGAACAGTTGTAAACAGGTGTCACATCTCCACATTCTCTGAAGCATCTTTTTGGAATCAAATTCAAAGCATTGCAAATACCTATTAAACTTTGCTTTGTAAATCTCTCGTTATTTTGTAAATGACCGAAGCTGGATTTCACACACGCATCCTTTTTAATAGCAAACTCTCTCATTATTTTCCATCTTTTAGTTGGTGACAAAGCGCCTGCTGACATCCGAATCATTGAGATCAAGTCCACAACACTGAGGGTAGATCAATCAATTCTTACAGGTAGGCATTCTATTCCATGAGGGGGGAAAGTATTTCTGAACATAAGTAGAAGTGAAATATGGAAAGTCCTAAATCAGGGGTGTCAAACTCGATTTCATTGAGGGCTGCATCAGGATTGTGTTTGACCTCAGGAGGACAGGTGGCCCTGGCCGGGTTGGGCATGGCCAGCTCAATGTCACTCGTGTTGGGGGCGCCTGTGGCAGCCCAAGCACTCTGCCAGTGAAAATGGGCTCCCAAGCTCCGTTTTAGGCCACAACAGCCTCCTGCAATCCTCTGCCAGCAAGAACGGAGCTCGGGAGGGCCACATGTGGCCCTC